ATCACAGTATTAGGCAATTACCACATAGGATTTCTGAGCTAGAACTGACCTTTGATGGTAAATCCCCTCCCCTCTTAATTTGAAAGGAAAACCCGGAGAACCCAACTGACATGCTATATAGTGACAGCTGAAACCAAATCTCATGTCTTCTACCGATAATCTCTACCACACATTGCTAACTCCCTTTGCATCCTTCAAGCTAGCTATTTGTAATATAATAGGGGAAATTAAATTCTTGAGGGAGGATAAAGATCTTGACTGTTGCAGGCTTCTCTTAGCTCCTACAGGCCTATGGTCCCTATTACCTAAATCCTTGTTTATAACCTTTCCACTACTGCTCAGACTTTTCTCTCCATCATATTTCTCATTTGAAAAAGGTTCACAAAATAGACAAAAAAAAATTTTTAAAGATTTGAATTTTTAGTAAAAATTTGGTTACTAACATTATTACTAACAACTCTCTAGCATTGTCCCAATTTGACTGCTTTTAACCAAGCAATTAGATCATACTGTAGACTCTTTATTTTGATCTTCACCAACTTGCACATGCAGAAATGCTTTAGACAACAAGCCCATTTACTATATGATTTTCAACAAATTGAAACAAACTTTCTCCTAAAACTAAGTGCTTTAAGATTGTGTGACTGTGAAGACGGTTGTATCTTATGAGCCTATATCCAGATATTTTGTATGAAATATAACCACACATACTAAGGGAGGGAAGGGAGTGATCTTTGACCAATTCATTAGCTTAGGGCAAGTGACAATTTCTACTGAGAGAATTAGAGAGAATACTGAATTCTGTATTTATTGTCCATGTATCTCCTTGGACAGGTAAACCACTGTATTTTTAGTTTTTATTTGCAAACCATAAAAATATATTATTTATAGAAAATGACAGTATTTCACTGAACCATCCATTCTTTTCCAAAGTCAAATTAATGCTTTAAAATTTTCATCGAACTCTTCCTGATCTGTTTTATGATTTGACAAGGGGCTCTATCCTGAGGACCACAAATTATTTCCCTTCTCTTTTCCCAATGAATGTACATATATGTACCTCCAAGGTACAGTACTTTAAGTTGTTTTGAGAAGGAAATGAGTAGCATTAATCCCCACTTTATCTTTTCGTTTGCAAAAAACTTTGAGTAATAAAATAGAATTATTGCTTGTCCAAGATTAAAGCTAATTATTCATGTATGTATATACATACATACATATATAACATATAAAATCCATGCAAAATTTGTGATTTTTCTAAAATTAGGAAGCTCACTATTTTTTTTTCAAGTTTCTATCAGCTGATCTATGGTTGTTTTAGTTGAAAGTACCCTGTCCTTCTGTTCTTTCTACTCACAGATTTGTTTCTGGAATGTAATTCATTGAGTAATATAAATTTATTTTATCTTGCAGTCTTTTTTTTTTTAACCAGTGCCTGATGATGAGTTCCTGCCAGTAAATGTTTTTCATTTCAGGGTCAGAGTAGGAGTTTACTTTGTTGTGTTAGTATCAGTAAAGAATACTTCACACAATTTGAAAGCATGTGACATTCTGTTGACTAATTTTAGTTTTAATTTTCAGTTTTTTAGTCAGCCCCTTAGGAACCCATTAATGCATCTGTCATTCTTGCACAGTGTTTAAAACAAGCCTGTTACTACATTTCTCTAGTTATCACTTTCATTGATAATCTGCTACTTAACTACCTTTATGGCTATGGACAGGTTACTTTACCTTCCTTTGACTCATTTTTCATATCTGTAGTACCTACTTAACCTGGTTATTTTGAAGAAAGAACTTTTAAGCCTTAAAGTGCTACATAAATGTAAATGGTTGCTATCTGAACACTGAGCAAAGTTGTTTTGTAATAGCATCATTGATCATACTAGCCATCCATCACCCATTTATATAACACCGTTCCTCTGGAACTGCCTCCTCTAATATCATACCTAATATTGTGTTTTAACAGAACCAAGTAAATATTCATGTATTACTTTTACTGTGTATACTAGGACTGACAGAGGAGTGCCCAAAAATCCCTGTGCCTTTAAATTATATGTAAATATTACAATGAGACTTTTCAATGGGGGAAGATATTGTTAAATTCTTTATGCTGAATTTAGTTTAATAATAATTAGGATTTCATTTTTAGAGAATTAAACTAATGTTTCTATCTGGACTTGACTTTCATGAAGATTACTATTGAACTGTCTAGGGGCATATATCAATAATTTGTGAAATGAAAGCACTTCTAGTAATTTTCCATCATTTTTATTTCACTTATGGGACCTCCTCTTTTTCATTATTTATATTTCAGAATTGTCTGCTGGGAAGAAACAGTGAAATTTTGGGTCCTACTTGCTATGCTATCCTCTTTGTCTCCATGGTACTTTAAATAAAATGGAAATAATAACCCCTGGGTACTCTGGCTTGTAAAATATTATGATGTTTAATGAGAGAATAAGGTCTCAGGGCTTTAGGTGAATCTTCAGTGGAAATTTTATTGAAAGACATGGATAGGAATAACACAGGATAAGAAATGTAGAGAGTTAGAGAGATATAGAGACAGAAGAACCTGCTACAATATGTGAAACAGCACCTCAGAAGAAAATCAGTATGCTAGTTTAAAATGTTTCTTAGAAGAATCTAAGGCTGTTGCCAACTCAGCATTTTTATAGCATCTTCAGCAGCACGTTAACAGCCCCTGATGATACTCATGATGACCATGAATATAGTAGCCCACATTTCTGCAACTTTTTAAAGTTTACCCAGTCTTTTTCATTACAATAATCCTGAGGTGATGATGAAAATAAGAATAAGGATAACAATAATAATAATAATAATGATGGTTCACATATGTGTGTGTATATATATAAGTATTACAGATATGTATATATATTTATGTATTTGAGATAGTACAAATATTATAATTCTCATTTAACAGATGTAGAATCTGAAGCTTAGTGAAGTTGTCAGAACTGGAATTTGAAACCACGTCATCTGATGCCAAACCTACCATTCACTCTTTCCCCTATGCCTAGTTTCTAACTTGGGTCAAAGATTATGGAGATTATGGGGAATCTCTTTGAAACAATACTGATTTCCTAAAACTTAGATCTCTGTAACTTAGGGTATATTGCTAGCTTTATTTGTACTATTAATAGTGGAAATTATTCTGAATTAGTCTTATGATTCAGATGGAGATACAATTAATCCTTCTGTATTATGGAGGATAGGGGTCATGCCCTGTGATCAGGAAAATCCACGTAAAATTTTTTGGCCCTCCCTTCATACCAAAGAAGTCTGAATTTTTTCTTTTTCTTTTATGGGGTATTTATAGTACTTTATTGTAAAATGTGGGTTGATATTATACAATACTATCTATACATATGTTTTATGCATTTCTGAGTTTCTGAATTTTTTCTCTGTCATCTTTGCTGGCCTTCACATGTCATCTGCAGCTTCTGCAAAACTCCAAAAAAATTCCCATTTAATTTCTTACGCTAACTCACAATATAGCAAAACCATGATGAGGAAAGTCACAATGTGGAAGGAATAACTGTATTTGTTTTGGTGTTACCTTGAAATTTAAATGAACTGGTCCTTTAGAAGTTTTCCATGATGGGTTTATTTGGGTTACTATCCTTGTGAGCCCTGAAGGTATGCTGAACCTTATTTATTATGAAAGCTGTGGTATGCTACACATCTGGAATATCAGCACATTGCTAGGACAGTTTTCCTCTTTAACATAAGAGAAATAGTAAATATCAATCCAATATTATAAATGTTGTGATATATATATTTTTAAACATGCTCATATAAAAATTTTGCAACTCTTAGGGGGCAGGGAGAAATTGTTTCCACTCTCTCCCCATAGACTTCTTCTATAAAAATATCAGTTGTGTTATAATCATGTACAGCAGTTTTTCTTAAAGCTGGTGTCATAATATCAAAATTATTGTAATTACCATTTGTCTTTTGGCAAAGACAAAATTCAACACTCAAAAACAGTAAGATAGGTTGACATATAAAGTAATCCTATAGGTCTCACCATGTCACTCCCCTCCTCAAGAAGCTTCAGGGACTCCCTATAACCTCCATGGTATAATACAAACTCCATTTGGAACTTAAAGCCTTTTATAATCTGACTCCAACCTATCTTTCCAGATTGATTTCACATTATTCCCCTTCGTTCATTCTGAATACCACTCAAACTTGTTCACCTGTTCAGTATTTGCAATTTTTTGTTTCCAGCCTCTGTTCTTTTGCACAGCTATGCCCCTCCCTAGACCTCTTCTGCCTATATGACTAGAACACTCTCTCTCCTCACTTCCACCTCGTAGAATCCCTAGTTTCTTCAATAATCACTTCTCATAGGAGGCCTTTCCTAAAAGTCAACCCCACCCACCCCCAGATGTCAGTATTTTCTCTGCCCTAAATTACTTCATGTTTACCTTCTATATATTTTGCATTTACTTATTTGTGTGCATGTTCTTTCCCTCTGGTAAAATAATAAGCATGTAGGATCATAGTATGTACCTATTTAATAAATGCTTATAGGATTAAATCAAGTGGAATTGAATAGCTGCATTATTTTATCATTGGCTTTTTAGTTAGCAACATAGCTATAGCATTGTTAGAGGACATATTTTATATAGTAGAGAGATGCATATATACAAATAGCATGAAAGGGACATTTGTAATGTCAGTTTTGAAGCAAACCAACTGGAAAAGTTACACAGAAGCCTTAGGCATACAGAAAGATGAAAATATTGTGATGGGAACTCCTGGCTTATTTAACCTTTATCTGTAAGGAAATGTTCCTTTCACCATTTGGTTCTAAAAAGGAAATACATTGCGGTAGTGTGACTTTCTCTTTCTCCCTAGGTAACTTTAAATTAACAAAAAAAATAGGGTTTTTTTGTGCATTAGTACTGTAAGAGAAAAAACATGCAACTTAGATTTCTATGAATGCCTTCTTTCCTTCTCTATTTTGGTTTTAGGTGTCAGAAATTATTTAAAAGAAGCGTTGGTTAATATAATAGCTGTGCATGCAGAGGTAAGTGTCTTTAGGTGTTTGTTTATAATTAGTATGGACATTTAAATCTTTCACCCTGTTCTTCCCACTCCCTTCAAATACAGATGTGTGGGTACATATGTGTAATATAGATATGTCACATATTATGTATGTTACATTTAATTTTGGACTTCTTGTTAGAGTGCAGATTTTTTTCTTAAATTACAATTCCATTTCCATTTGTTCTATCTTTTAAGTAATCAATCTTGCTTTCTGAGACCTTGGTATAAAATTTCCCCTTCTAAATGATGAAGTTATTTGTACTTGAAGAGGTAAAGGAAGTAAGGGATTGAAAAAAGTTTTCCTTTTTTAAAAATTTAAGTATAAAAAACCCACATAACTTACTTTGGAAAATTCACTAACCTCCTTTTAGCCAGTATGCAAATAAGAGTTACTTATGTGGTCACATACCCTTCTCTAACAGTTGGAATCCCTAAAGGGTAGTGGCATTTTACAGACATAGAGACAAATAACATTTTTTGGTTCAAGAAAACAGACGAAATCTGAGGACAAATTCTTAATATCTTCTGTCAATAGCAGGCCCAGGTAACCCAGAATCATAAACAATAATTGTTGCTTTTAGTTCATTTTTTAAAAATGCCCTCCACTTAAAGCATTACCTTCAGAAATTATAAGTTAACATATATGTCAGGAGGACACATTCTCTTCTTAGGAGCCTCAAAAGAGAAACAGAAATAGTCTTGGAGTATAACTTGTCAATGCAAAGACCACAGCCACCGCTACCACCTACTACTACCTGTTTTCATTCAATGATTTCAAAATCTAGACCCACAGTTTTGCCAACACATCATCTTAGAAGATACTGATACCACAAGCTTTTATAGGCAACATCACTAGATGAATGAGGAAGAGAAAAGAAGTTAGATGTTGTAAGCATTCTCTGTAGTAATATAAGTGCCTTCCATAGTACAAACACTCCAAATACTTAATAATTTCAGTAACTCTATGAACTCACTACTCTTCATCCTCCTTCCATTGGTACTGATCACAACACAGCCTTGTCTTCTCATCCTGGATGAAATCCTCCCATAAATTCTCCAAAGAGTATATATTTGGATTTATACCCCCAGCTACTTTCAAAAAAATTTAAAATGACTTGTAAGTCATTTAATTTAACATAATGCAAAACAGAATAAGGATAAGATTTAGTTGTGATCATCTAATTTCTCTTAGGCCTAGGAAATGAGTTTTCTGATAAATAAACCTTGGAGTCTCTTCCAACTCTAGAATTGTAAAATTCTGAGATTTTAGAGGAAATAAAAAAAGTAGCTTGTTACTTTCCTGAACTGATTATTACAGTCCAACACTGAATTTTGTTCTAAGTTTTCTGGAAGCCTAATTTAAAAATATCTTCTGTTACCTAGTTTTCATTTTTTTGACTGAAGAAAACACACAAGTTCATGTGTAATGTCAAACATTTTCCTAAAACTAAACTCAAAAAATTTGTTAATGGAAGTTCACAAATAAGTAGCATTGAATAATAGTATTTTCATTTATGGTTTTGCTGAAGACAGAGGATGTATTAACTCCTTACAAAGCCAGAGATAAAAGCCAGGAAGAGGGTATGATTGAAGTCTGTCACTCTATCACTGTATATCAATACCTTGGGTTGCCCTCAGAAAACTGAATTGACTGTAATCCAGTGCTTGCCAAAGGTTTCGTTGAAGCACCTGATATTTGAGAAAGATAACATTGGGGAATGTTAACTAGTTTCTATAACATCTCCCTTATATTGGTAGCTCACCAAAGATCAAGATCTTAACTTAGCTTCCTGAAGAAATGTCTTCACAAAGATATGGCTTAAAGTTTGCCGTCAAGATTTCTGTAAGGATTTCTAGAGGATTAGAAAAAGAATTTTTGTTTTGTATTTTGAAAAACCATGCTAAACTAGTAAACTCTATATGAGAAGCCACATAGTAAACTCCTTGAATTCATTCAGTGCCAGGAAAAAGTTAGTCCCTACTGCCAAACTTGTATGTTCTCTTTTTATCAAACAATAAGACATATACAACACCATTTGTTTCCCTCTTTGCCTTAGCTACCAAGAAGCTAAAAGCTAAATTCAGTACACAGCTGCAGTCCAGTGTGTCTGCTAACATCTATTTTCCTGCCGCTTTTAATATTTTTCTGTTTTTAATTGCATAGGGTTTTTTTAAAATGTTTTTAACTTTATAAGCCCACTCAAATCATTTTTGGAAGTAAGAGGATTTTAAATCCTAAATGAATTGTGTTTCTAACTTATGTTCACTTAGCATATGTTTTTAAAGTAACTTAAAAATTTTCTATTTCAGAGAATAGAATTTAAAGCTCAAATCTTTATTTTGTTCATAGTTTGGTTCTTTTTAAAAAAGTACCCAGTACATCTCAAACTATGTGACAAAGTGGTAATCATCAGAACAATTTGGTACTGAATAAGAAATAGAATGCCTAGGTGGCACAGTGGATAAAGCACCAGGCCTGGAGTCAGGAAGACCTGAGTTCAAATTTGGCCTCAGACGCCTACTAGCTGTGTGCCTTTGGGCAAGTCACTTAACCCTTCTTGCCTCCGTTTCCTCATCTGTAAAGTGAACTGGAGAAGGAAATGGCAAACTTTTCTGGAATCTCTGCCAAGAAAACCTCAAATGGGGTCAGAAAGAGTTGTATACAACTGAAAACAACTGAGCAACAAAAGAAATAGAGTGGTTGATCAATGGAATAGGTTAGGTACACAATAAACAGAAGCAAATGAGCACAGTAACCTAATATTTAATAAACCCAAAAATCTAGCTATTTGGGGCAAGAACTCACTATGTGACAAAAACTGCTGGGAAAATTGGAAAGTAGTCTGGCAGAAATTAGGCATTGATCAACATCTCAAATAGTATTCCAAGATAAACTTAAAATGGGTATGTGATTTGGACGTAAAGGGTAATATAAACAAATTAGGGGAACATGGAAGAAATTACCTGTCACATTTATGGATAGAGGAAGAGTTAATGACCAAACAAGAGTTATAAAGATTTACAAGAGGTAAAATGGATGATTTTGATTACATAAAATTTAAAAGTTTTTGCACAAAGACCAAGGCAGCCAAAATTAGAAGAAAAGCAGGAAACTGGGGGGCGGGTTGGGGAGGGGCGGGGAATTTGCATCAAGTTTTTCTGATAAAAGGTCTCAGCTCTTTTTGTGGTGGCAAAGATTTGGAGACTGAGGGGAGATGCCTATAAAAAGTGAGTGACTGAATGGGTTATGGCACATGAATGTGATGGAATCCTATTTTGCCGTAAGAAACAATGAAAGGTTCCATTTCAGGGAGCCAAGATGGTGGAGTAAGAAGTAAGTCACTCTCACCCTCCCTTATTAACCTCTGAAAGCCCAAAAAATATCACCCCAGGAAAAATGCTGGAACAGCTGAACCAGCAGAAATACAGGGTGCAATCATCTTGTAGCCCAGGAAGCTTAGGGGATTAAAGGGAAAGGCCCCTCTCGCTCTGGGGTAGGAAGAGCAGTACAAAACAGGAGGTGTCCTAGCAAGCTAACAGAAAGCCCCACCTCAGCATATTAGGGGGAAATCCTGAACCCCAGGATGGTGGAGCAGGCAGGCATCAAGACTCTTGAGTGCCTCAGTAGGGGCAAGGGAACCAGCAGAAACCCTGGTGCCTCAGCAAAACTCTGGGAAGCACAACTCCAAGAGGGAAAGCTCTAGGGTGAGAGATAACCTGCAGCAGCAAAACATCCCTGTGCAAGGCCTGGGTGAGCAGATGTGCTGCAGGGCAAGATTCCACACCTTTATCACTAGAGCCCGGTGTTGCTTATTCCAGCCCAATGCCAGGTAAGCTGCCAGAACCCCCAACACAAAAAGTCAGTGACCAAACCCTAGGCCCCCAGCACAAGAAGCTTAGGTCAGTGCCCCCTGCTCTCCAGCGTGAAAGCTCAATTTTTTTTTTAAGTCAGGAAATAAGCAAACACCATGAGCAAAAAGAAATGTATAACCATAGATTCTTATTATGGGGTTGGGGGAGATCAAGATAGAAATTCAGAAGAGGACAACATTGTCAATATACCCACATCTGAAACCTCACAAGGGAATATGAACTGGTCTCAAACCCAAAATGCCTCCTTGGAAAAGCTCAAGAAGGATTTTAAAAGTCAAATAAGAGAGGTAGAAGAAAAATTGGGGAAGGAAATGAGAGATATGCAGGAGAGAGTCAATAGCTTGGAAAAAGAAGGACAAAAGTGTAGAAAGCAAGCACTTAAAAAATACAGTGGGCCAAATGGAAAAAAAGTACACTGAAGAAAACAAATCCTTAAAAAGCAGAATTGGCCAAATGGAAAAGAAGGCACAAAAACTCCCTGAGGAGAAGAAATCCTTAAAAAGTAAAATGGGCCAAATGGAAAAGGAGGTACAAAATTTAATAGAAGAAAACAGTTCATTAAAAATTAGAATTGGGCAAGTGGAAGCTAATGACTCTTTAAGAAAGCCAGAATCAGTCAAACAGAAACAAGAATGAAAAAGTGGATGAAAATGTAAAATACTTAATTGGTAAAACAACTGACCTGGAAAATAGATCCAGGAGAGACAATTTAAAAATTGTTGGTCTACCTGAAAACCATGATGAAAAAAAGAGTCTGGACAGCATTTTTCAGGAAATTATCAAGTAAACTGCCCTGAGGTCCTAGAAACAGAGGGTAAAATAGTCTTTGAAAGAATCCACCAATCACTTCTTGAAAGAGATCTCAAGTTGAAAACACCAAGGAATATAGTAGCCAAATTCCAAAATTACCAGGTCAAAGAGAAAATACTTCAAGCAGCCAGAAAGAAACAATTTAAATATCATGGGACCGCAGTCAGGATTACACAGGACCTTGCAGCTTCTACATTTAAAGATTGGAGGGTGTGAAATACGAAATTCTGTAAGGCAAAGGAGTTTGAATTATGACCAAGGATCAACTACCCAGCAAAAATGAGCATAATCTTTGAG